TAAACAATAAAAAATCAAAAACTTCAAATTTAATATTTTCATAAACTTCCTTTCTACTCACTTTTTTCTATCTTTAAAAGTAATTTTTAAATTTTTTTCTAATAAAAATTTAAACATATTACTCATGAACAATACAAAAAAATAAAAACTCTAACAAACTGCACCAAATAAGCTCTTAGAAGATTAAGGGAAGAAGTATTTTTGAGATAAGATCAAGAGAAGAAGTAGAGCTAGGAAAGCAAGAGACGGGGATGAGAGGAAGACGAAAATAGTTCACATTTCATCACTTACATTTACAAGAAATATAATTTATAAAACCTTGGTGAAGTTGTACCACTAACTTCAAAATCTTGATTTAAAGTTAAAGTCAAGTTTAAACGTGAAATACCTAAACTACCTTTATCCACAAAATGGCTCATATAGTTAATATCCAAAAATTACATTGGAACTAAACTAATAAAAAAGAAAACTCTTTCAACGTTTATTTTTTCATTTATAAAACTTAAACTCGAGACCTTGTTAAGGAAAACCGAACTCATTCCACTCGAACCAACATATTATTGGTGTAATACTGTTATTTATTGAACATTTCAGCATGTAATTTGGTGTGTGTCTCCGCTTTGGTGTCATTTGAGCGTTTAGGGACAAACACCAGAGTAGAACAATCCTGGATGACACTTGAGCGGAGTGACTCACCAGTGCTTTTGGAGAGATATGCCTATGTTCACACCAGCGATTGGCTGGAATTTCTGAAATCTCTAGTAGGTTTATTACATGCTGTTAAAGATGTCTCAAGTTGCAGTGGCCAATGGCCATTAAAGCGTCGTACTCTAATAATGCTTCAACATCTATCAGGTCTTCATCAAAATCAATTGGACTCGGGGTACTGACCTGCAAAGTCAGTTAAAGAAACTAGTTCATAGAAACTTGTACTTTAAAAAATTAATTAAAAAAAAGAAAAAAAAGAAACTACATTTCAACATGTCAAACCGTTTAGCCTATTTGGCTATTGTACAAACAAAAAACTAGAGATATTTTTCCATATATCGAGAAAAGGTAACCCCTGGAACAAGTCTAACATGTAAAATGCAACCTCAGCTTTTCAAATGCTCTTAATTCCTTCAGCAGCAGATCCATGATATAAACTGATCTTGCTAGCCATAATTTCATAAGATTTGTATGCAAAATTAAAAACATGTCTATGCATAACTTTCCAATTTAAGATTGTGTAAAGCATTCTGTGAAATCTTTTATGAAAAACTACAAATGAAAAATTAGAGAAAGAAAACATTCAGTTACCTCTTTCTCTTGGATCTCAGTGACAACATTCAGCAAACTGCAATATTACTCTCTGCATTCTGGATACTGAACCATAGACTTTACCTTAGTGAGTGCCTTTTGTATCCTGCCTTCTTTCAGAAAATCATATTCATCATCTTTTGAGGAATTTTTATGCATATTGGGAGCTGCAGTAACGGCTTCTGGCTTAAATCCACTCAAACCACTTCTTTTTCTTCTCCAACGCAAGATCCATTTCTCCAAAATTCCTAGGCACCAGATTATTTTCCTATAGTGTTTCCTGACTCGGTGACTTCTCACATAAGCCTTTCACCCAAAAAAGAGAAAAAAAAAGAAAAGAAAAAAAGAAGAAACTAAAAGTTAGATTCAAACCTTTTGGGAAAGGAAAAGCAAGGTCAGAGTGCCAAGAACCATAACCAGGTTAAATCAGCAAATAAAATACACCTGAATTTTAACAATTCGCTGCGTGATTATCAAAAACTCTTTTCCAGCCTTCCAACTACGGAACTTATTTTGAATACATGTGGCAGCTGCATGTATAAGTTCATCTTCTTGTCCTGGCTTGTATGACTTGATTGCTAAAAGTGAAAGTGCAAGCTCATTTAACTTCTTTTTTTGGAAGGAGTGCACTTGGAAAACCCGATAAATTTGGGCAGCAGCTTGGGTAGCATTACAGACAGCAGCCAATGATTCCCTTAATGACAGGCTATCTGGTGCATTACTTAAGCTAAGTGGAGTTACACTTCTTTCCGAAATTTCCTGCACTGCTTTGGGTCCTTTTGTGTCATCATCTTCATTAGCCAAATTAAGGGATGAACTGTGAAGCGTCCTCTGCAAGGTATCCAGCAATTCCTTTATGTCCACTGGCAGTCGCTAGATCAGCAGGTGTTCTGCTGGAAGGATATTTTGATGATGTATCTGTTACTGCTCCAGAAGCTGCACCCAATGAAATGAGGAAAGCAACCGTATGCTCTCTGAAGTTGACGAGAGCTTATGTTTATAGAAGCAGCACACAAAAAATGAAAGAGAAATGACTGAGTAAAAAATACAAGGATTAAAGAATGAAATGTCAGATGGAATGGTATTTTTCACATCTGTTTGAGTCAGAAAGATAAATTTTTCCTCATTATGGAGTATTTGCTGAACTATAAAGCCATCACACTAGAATCTTCTTTGTATCTCCTCCTATGGACTAAAGGACAACCACGAAATAATAGGAAGGGAAAAGAGATAAGAGGAGAAAAGAAGAAAATGGTGAACTTCAAAGAAATATTCAAAAGAATTGTTGACGTGCTCATCTCCCACAAGATGCTGCCCAATGAAGTGCAGTCCATCCATTCACATCGTGGACATTGACACCAGCACCAGCAACAATAGTAGGCTCAAAAGTCCAATCATAGCCAAGTGCTGCCGCAAAATGTAGAACACCTTGTCCACCCTCATCCAACAAGCTAGGGCCTTTACCACCTTCAGCTACCTTCTGTAAGAGCCATACATGCATCTTCTCTTTCAGTAGTTTCTGAAACAGCCTCTCATTAAATTTTTCTGAGGAAAATTCCTCCCCCTGATCTAAGCTTTAACATTTGCTCTCATTCTGAGATGTCCTCCTTAAGTAATGCATTGATTTTCCTGCTCAACTGGGATATATCACCCAAACTGCTGGTGTCAGAAACAGTTAACTTGGAGTTTAAGCTTAACAATTTATCAAATTGCAATTCAAGATTGTCATTGGCACTGCTATTATAGTTTTCTGCTGTGTTAACATCTTCAGTCTGAACAGTTCACTATTCAAATTCTAGCACTTTGCTACAAACTAATCCATTGGAGTGCGTTATATAGAAAGGAACCCTGCTAGCCTCATGTGTTGGAGTATGGCAATGAAGAACACCATCTGCTATAACCTCTGCTGGAACTTCTACCTCCCCAAACAAACATGACCATTTACAATTTTCTAACTCATGTGGACACTTCATGAATCTTCCCGCGATCAGGACCTATATAATTTGTGGAAAAAAATTAGGAAAAACAACTCTAGTGAGGAAGTATGCTCTATTTCAATCCTTGTATATTTATCACATAAATGGTGAAAATAGATAAACAAAAAATTAATGTGCTGACCTTTGTTTCAGAGCCTTCATATGCCCAATTTGGTGAGAAATCAATAATGCTAAAAAGTTGGTCCTGGGACACGGAAGGACCAGGCATAGAGGTATGAACTTGTCCTTTAGAGGTAATGCTGGAAACACCAGTCTCAATCCCAATTTCATTTTCAACTGTTCCCCACAAAGCCCAGAACCAGACAGCATATGTGACTCATCTACATCTGTAACGCCTCTGAGTTCCTCAAGCATCCAGCTTACACCATCCAGCTTCTTTGAACCTTCTTCCGTTAATGAACAATCAAACAAACTCTGCTTTATAGCAGAAGAGCAGATTGATTTTCCCTCCAATTTCAAGTACTCACCAGAATCAGGCAGAAGAACATGATCATGTTCTCCGCATTTCCTGGATTTAGAAGTTGTATCACATGCTGATTCTGAATATAATTTCTGATCCATTGGCCACTTAGAGAAAGATGAAGAATCCTCAAATGAAGCCTATTTGGAATTCAAATTAAAGACTAAAAATAATTAAACTAGAAAAAGATTAAAATTAACAAGCAGAAAAGGAAATCATTACCGAGTGCTTGAACAGTCATTAAAAATCTATCCCTAGCACAATGGTAGTTGCCAGTGCAATCCCCTATCCATCAATGTTGAGAATAACTACTTAATCAACATTATCACAAATATTATCCAGAAGTTAGGGAATTGCTTAAACAAAACCGGTTTTCCATTCCAAGGACTTGATGTCAGCATACACAGCACATTACACTTATTTGGCTAGTATCTTAAAAGTTCTCAACACATCCCAGCTCACTCAAACTCCAGCATACAAAGACCTTAAGAAGCACCTCAAAAATTCAAGGAAGCATAAAACTTCCACAAAACCAAAACTTCAAAACACAAAGCAAATTCCTGCAAATTAAATTGTAGAACCAACCTTAAAAAATCATGACTTCACTTTTCTGCTACACATCTAAGCTAAAAATCATGGAAAAGAAACATAAGAACGAAGAAGAGTTCAAGTCCACCATTTTATACCTAATTGGTTACCGAGACCATAGCGCCTAGCCTCGGCCATCAATTCCGCACTCTCTGACTCAGAACCCTCACGACCACGACCTCAAATCGAAGCTGTTCTGATCTGATGGAATGGAACGCCGTCTAATCCGGCCAAGGAAAACACGGTCCGTCGGAAGAGATTAAGCGGTGATAAAGGCGACGGTATGATTGCAGAGGAAGCCGCAGTTGACAACAGAAAACGTAAACTTGCGGGAAAGTGGATTTGTATCAGATTGTGTTCCTGCGAAAGAGGGACGAGAGATCGCCACAGGTTGGAATTTTCTTAGTGGGAAAGGGACTACTGGGGGGGATGTAAGTCATCCTTTTTGGCGTAAGTTCCGGGAAATACTGCTTATTAATATAATAATATAGTAGTATTTTTATTTTTTTGTTAGTCAGAAAAAAAAAATACTACTAAAATTGATGGTGAAAGCAAGGACTTATAACTTAATAAATA